GTATTTATTACTCAAGGTAATGACTGGGATACATTTATTACTCAAATTAAAGACTGTGGATACATTTATTAATCAGGTTAAAGACTGGGATACATTTTTTTTCAAGTTGAAATTTGGAANTACCTTTATTACACAAGTTAAAGACTGGGATACTTGTATTACTCAAAATAAAGCTTGGGCATAAATGTATTACTCAAATTATAGACATGGGATACATGGATTACTCAAGTTAAAGACATAGGATACATTTATTACTCAAGTTAAAGACTGGGATACATTTATTACTCAAGTTAAAGACTGGGATACATTTATTACTCAAGTTAAAGACTGGGATACATTTATTACTCAGGTTAAAGACTGGTGTACATTTATTACTCAGGTTAAAGGCTGGGATACATTTATTACTCAGGCTAAAGACTGGGATACATTTATTACTCAAGTTAAAGACTGGGATATATTTATTACTCAGGTTAAAGACTGGGATACATTTATTACTCAGGTTAAAGACTGGTGTACATTTATTACTCAAGTTAAAGACTGGGATACATTTATTACTCAGGTTAAAGACTGGGATACATTTATTACTCAGGTTAAAGACTGGGATACATTTATTACTCAGGTTAAAGACTGGTGTACATTTATTACTCAAATTATAGACTGGGATACATTTATTACTCAAGTTAAAGACTGGGATACATTTATTACTCAGGTTAAAGGCTGGGATACATGTACTACTTAAGTTAAAGACTGGGATACATTTATTACTCAAGTTAAAGACTGGGATACCCAGCTGTAAGTAGGTATAGATAATTCAGGAAAGATCTAAGCCAAGTGGTCTGGACATGGACCTGCTGCTAGACGTGTGTTTTTTCACCTTACAAGTACTAAGATGATGGTAGGTTTGGACATGGGGAAAGCCTAAAGCCTAAAAAAAGCGAGTTTCGGACCAAGTACATAACAGCTTTCGTTAGAGTTTACGACTCGATTGCTCACAGCATTACCAATCGAACGCATTCTGAAGGACGAGCCCATTATTTTA